CGAGGGAAGAGATCGCAGGGCCTTTGGTGATGATCTTTTCATCCTCACTGTCCACAGGTTTCATGCAGGAAGATGGGAAAGTGGCAAACGTCATTTCCTTGTTCAAAAAAAAGGGAATAGGGATAACCCCGGAAATTACAGGCCAATTAGTCTTACTTCAGTGTTGGGCAAATTATTGGAAAGCGCTCTGAGAGATAGGATTCATGATCACTTGGAAAGCCACAGTTTGATTCGTGATAGTCAGCATGGATTTGAGGGGTAGATCATGCCTCACAAACCTGATTGAATTCTTTGGAGAGGTGACCAAACACGTGGATGAAGGTAGAGCAGTGGATATGGTATACATGGATTTAAGTAAGGCGTTTGATAAGGTTCGCCATGGTAGGCTCATGCATAAAGTAAGGAGGCATGGGATAGGGGGAAATGTGGCAGATTGGATTCAGAATTGGCTGACCCTTAGAAGACAAAGGGTGGTAGTGGACGGAAAATATTTAACATGGTGCTCAGTTATGAGTGGCGTACCACAAGGATCTGTTCTGGGTCCTCTTCTATTTGTGATTTTTGTAAATGATTTGGATGTAGGAGTGGAAGGGTGGATTAGTAAGTTTGCAGAAGATACGAAGGTGGGTCGAGTTGTGGATAGTGCGGAGGGCTGTTCTAGGTTACAAAGGGACATTGATAGGATACAGAGCTGGGCTGAGAAGTGGCAGATGGAGTTTAACCCTGAAAAGTGTGAGGTGATTAATTTTGGAAGGACAAATTTGAAAGCAGAATACAGGGTTAACGGAAAGATTTTTGGCAGTGTAGAGGAGCAGAGGGATCTTGGGGTTCATGTCCACAGTTCCCTGAAAGCTGCCACCCAGGTGGATAGAGTTGTTAAGAAGGTGTATGGTATGTTAGCTTTCATTAATAGAGGGATTGAGTTCAAGAGCCGTGAAGTTATGCTCCAGCTATACAAAAGCCTGGTTTGGCCACATCTGGAGTACTGTGTCCAGTTTCAGGTGCCTCATTACAGGAAAGATGTGGAAGCATTGGAAAAGATGCAGAGGAGATTTACCAGAATGTTGCCTGAAATGGAGGGAAAGTCTTACGAGGAAAGGTTGAAAGAGCTGGGGCTTTCCTCTTTAGAACGACGATAGAAGCATACAAAATGATCAGAGGTATAGATAGAGTGGACAGCCAAAGACTTTTTCCTAGGGTGGGAGGTAGCTATTACGGGGGGGTAGAGTTTTAAACTGAGTGGAGGTAGATATCGGGGAGATATCAGAGGTAGGCTCTTTACTCAGAGAGTGGTAGGGACGTGGAATGCATTGCCGGAGAGGGTCGTGGAGTCGGCTTCATTAGGGGCATTTAAGCGGCTATTAGATAGGCATATGGATGATAGCATAAGGTAGGGATAGAGGTTAGATAGACCTCACGTTTAAGGTAAAAGTTCGGCACAACATTGTGTGCCGAAGGGCCTGTACTGTGCTGTACTGTTCTATGTTCTAATCTATTTCTCCTTTCTGTACAGCCCAGTTCAATATAAGGGTAGCTCATCAATTCCAACAGGGACTGATTTTGATATTGGAGACTGAATGGAGAAATTCAATCACTATTCATTGACCTTTGTGACAAAGTATGTGTAAGTGGATATCAGGTGACAGACTCAATTGCAATGCTCTTCACATGGAGTACATTCCAGACACTCAATAGTGTATTAGACATGGAAAGCATCTGGATCTTGTTATCAGAAAATCACTGATGACTATGAAACTATATTCTGCAGGAGGTTTGTCTTCAGCTTTTCACATACATTCAATGGCTTTTCATTCCAAATCCTGTCTACCTGTTCATTTCCCCTTATTTTTAAGATAACCTCATTTTCATTTGGCTTAGCACTACATTTGCCTCACAACTCTGTAGACATGTTCCTGGATTAAACACATGTCCAGATCAGTTGAAATTTTCCACATTGTACATTATAGTATCACAAATCCTAAGCAGAAACAGAAGCCAATTTTCATCCAGTACTCACCAATTCGTCCTTTCATATGGATGTGCCCGGGCATGATTCCAATTTTACACTCTCCAGGCTGAGGACGAATGAATTAATTCAGGGGAAAAGGCATGTCAGTATCTGCATGCAATAATCAAATAAGCAAAATACAAAGGAGAGGCATAAAAAAAAGCAAGCTTTAATTTATTTCAAACAAACAAACATGCCAAAATAAAAGGAAAAGACAAAAGACATCACTGTTAGCCGCTCAAACTAATGTAACTAATAAATGATACACGACAGTCAGTTACTGAGCATTCATGATTAAACAGCGGAACACCACAGTATAGAAGGCAGGAGAAACAATACATTTTGGTTTTCAAACATGGACATGTTTCTTTCCCCAATGGGGTCTAGGCAATGTTAACAAAGCTGTATTTGTTACCCATTCTTTATTACTCCAAGAGCATCAAGAGTCATTGACCTAGTTTCAGACTTAAGTCCTGTGTAAGGCAGACATTATCGGAGAAGTATTTCTTCCCCAAACTGGTTGGGTTTTCAAAAAGGTCAACGTGGCAGCTTTTGTCATCGTTTTTTTTGTCCAGTATTGTCCACAAATCACTGATTTCTTTGAATTCAAGTTTACAGTTGGCCAAAGGAACTTGCAACCTGTTAATTAACCAGTACCCTCCACCATATAGGGGCAGCATGGCAGATCAGTGGTTAGCACTGCTGCCTCACAGTGCCAGGGTCCTGGGTTTGATTCCACTCTCAGGCGATTGTCTTTATGGAGTTTGCATATTTTCCCCGTGTCTGTGTTGGTTTCCTCCAGATGCTCCAGTTTCCTTCTACAGTCCAAAGATGTGCAGGTTAGGTGGATTGGCAGTGCTAAATTGCCCATAGTGTTTGGGAATGTGGAGGCTAGTTGGATTAGCCATTGGTCATATAGGATTACAGGGATCGGGTGAGGGAGTAGGTTTGGGCTGCTCTTCGGAGTCAATGGGCTGATTGGCCTGCTTCCACACTGTAGGGATTCTATGATTCTATTTAAATCATGCACTTACAATTCACATAAAGCCAGTTGCTCTTGGCTCTAAATTGTTATGCAATAAGTCCAATTAGAATGGCTTTATGTAGGCAATTTTGAAGAAACGTTACAGACCTAAAAGTTTTTCTCTCCACAGATACTGCCAGAATGTCTTGAGTATTTCCATCATTCTCCATTTTTAATTTCAGATTTCTGGCATCTACTTTTGTAGGAGGTCAGCCTCTGGGCTGACACTGATGATCACGTAGCTAAAGTGCCACGCAAATAGCCTATAATTCATACACACAGAATAACAATTCTGGTAGAGTAGCAGGTCACAGTAGAGTAATACCCTAATACAAATCACCGTCTTCAGAATTGGAAAAAAAAATCAAAAATATAGAAAATATTCTGTCTAAAGTCAGAAATCATATGACACCAGGTTATAGTCCAACAGGTTTATTTGAAATCACAAGATTTTGGAGCGCTGCAGTTTGTCTATAACCTGGCATCTTGTGACATCTGACATTGTCCACCCCAGTCCAACACTGGCACCTCCTCATCCTATCCAAAGCTGCAACAGTGTTTACACCGGGTTTGAGACCATCTACAATTTGGTCCTTGGTGGCCTGCACCAAAAAGTCTTGCTCCTTTATCTAATTTCAGTCGCATCATGCTTAAGCAATAGAGGATTACTTTAAAAAAAATGGTCGAGACAAACAAACAAAATCAATGATACTTTACTCGTTAAACTAAATGACATCAATCACTTATTCAAGACACTTACATTGATCACTCCTGGACAGTTGGGGCCAACAAGGCGAGTCTTGCTCTGGCGAAGAAGTCGATGTTTCACCCGTACCATGTCCTGCTGTGGAATTCCTTCGGTGATGCAGACCACCAGCGGGATCTCAGCATCTACTGACTCAAGGATAGCAGCAGCGGCGAACGGGGGAGGGACATAGATAACAGATGCTTCAGCTCCTGTGCTTTCTCTGGCCTAGAAGTATAAAGATGAAAAAGGAGATTACTTCCTGATAGCAATTTACAAAGTTTAGGTCGTTAACTCTTTCTCTTCTCATGCTGCAGCAACCTGACAGGTACAGGGTATTTGCTCAAGACAGTTGATGCACTGAGTTTTCATTCTCAAACAAAACACTTAAAAGGAGCTACATGAGGAAAGAAAGAAACAAACCAGCCTTAGTCACTTTAGTAAACATCTTAACTGCTAACTGAAGAACTGATTGGCAGCCCCACATTTGTAGCTGGGAAGAATGCGTGCTATACAATAGGATTGTAGAGGAAAGGATCAATATAAATAAACACACGCTGCTGACTGTAATAGTTCACTGCATAATAATCTATAATTAAACATACATATAAAATACATAATTATACTCTAGTAGAACAAAACTGTTATTAAAAAGTTAGTTAAACAGAGCATGCACTACATTGAGACTAATGAAAGCCATAAAGTGCATCCTACTGAATTCTTCATCACTGTCTTTATCACAGTCACTCTCAACTATTTCAATCTTTTCCAGATTGGCCTCATACCTTTTACCTTCCATGAACTCCAGCTCCTCCAAAAAATTCTACTACGTGTAACTAATTTGGTACCAAGTACCACTCACCCATCACCTCTTCTCTCCTCACAGTGTCTTGCATTTAGAACTCAGTGTTTTTATTTTATTCATGGATGTGGGTGTGATTGGCTGGGCATTTATTGCTCATTAATAACTGCTCATTACTTGAGAAGGTGGCAGTAAGCTGCAGGATGTTGATGCAGGTGATTTTTAACAATTGTAATGCCACTGAATGTCAAGCATTTGAACAGCATTATTTTAAGTGCATAGATTACTCATGCACTGATAATACTGCTATGCCACTGCCTCCCCAGTTTTTTCTATTAATTTATTAATTAGGCCAACACTTACTACTCAGTTCTAATTTCCTAAAAGGCAGTTAAACGTTAACCCAATTGAGGCAAGGAAAGGATGGCAAGGTAAAGGAACCTTGGATACAAGACATGTGGAACACCTAGTCAAGCGGAATAAGGAAGCTTACTTAAGGTTGAGGAAGCAAGGATCGGACAGGGCTCTACAGGTCTACAAGGTAGCCAGGAAGGAACTGAAGAATGGACTTAGGAGGGCTAGCAAATGGTATGAGAAAACCTTGGCAGGTAGGATCAAAGAAAACCCCAAAGCATTCTATGCTGATATGAGGAATGAGAAGATGGCCAGAGTGAGGCTAGGGCCAATCAGAGATAGTGGAGAGAACTTGTGCGCGGAGTCAGATGAGGTAGGGGAGGTCCTTAATACATACTTTGCTTCAGTATTCATCAGTAAGAGGGGCTTTGACGTTTGTGAGGACAGCATGAAACAGGCAGATATGCTCAAACAGGTTGATGTTAGGAAGGAGGATGTGCTAGCAATTTTGAAAAACATTAGGATAGATAAGCCCCCAGGCCAGGCGGGATATACCCAAGGTTTCTACGGGAAGCGAGGGAAGAGATTGCTGCCCCTTTGGCAATGATCCTTGCGTCCTCACTGTCCACTGGAGTATTACCAGATGATTGGAAGATGGCAAATGTCATTCCCTTGTTCAAGAAAGGGAATAGGGATAATCCTGGAAATTACAGGCCGCTCAGTCTTACTTCTGTGGTGGGCAAAATATTGGAGCGGATTCTGAGAGATAGTATTTATGATTATTTGGAAAAGCACAGTTTGATTAGAAAGTCAGCATGGCTTTGTGAGGGACAGGTCATGCCTCACAAGCCTCATCGAATTCTTGGAGGATGTGACAAAACATACTGATGAAGGCAGAGCAGTGGATGTAGTGTATATGGATTTTAGCAAGGCATTTGATAAGGTTCCACCTGGTAGGCTCATTCAGAAAGTAAGGAGGCATGGGATTCAGGGAAATTTGGCTCTCTGGATGCAAAACTGGCTGTCCAATAGAAGACAGAGGGTGGTAGTATACGGAAAGTATTCAGCCTGGAGCTCAGTGACCAGTGGTGTTCCGCAGGGATCTGTTCTGGGAACTCTGCTCTTTGTGATCTTTATAAACGACTTGGATGAGAAAGTGGAAGGGCGGGTTGGTAAGTTTGCCGATAACATGAAGGTTGGAGGAGTTGTGGACAGCATGGAGGGCTGTTGTAGGTTGCAATGTGACATTGACAGGATTCAGAACTGGGCAAAGAAGTGGCAGATGGAATTCAACCCAGAAAAGTATGAAGTGATTCATTTTGGAGGGTTGAATTTGAATGCAGAATACAGGGTTAATGGCAGGATTCTCAGCACTGTGGAGAACCAGAGGGATCTTGGAGTCCACATCCATAGATCCCTCAAAGTTGCTACCCTTTACCAAGGGTTGTAAAGAAGGCATATGGTGTGTTGGCTTTCATTGGCAGGGGAATTGAGTTTAAAAGCCGCGAGGTTATGCTGCAGCTCTATAAAATTCTGGTTAGACCACACTTGGAATAGTGTGTTTGGTTCTGGTCACCTCATTACAGGAAAGATGTGGAAGCTTTAGGGAGGGTGCAGAGGAGATTTACCAGGATGCTGCCTGGACTGGAAGGCAGTTCTTACGAGGAAAAGTTGAGGGAGCTAGGGCTTTTTTCAATGGAGCGAAGAAGGATGAGAGGTGACTTGATGGAGGCGTACAAGATGATGACAGGCACAGACTGGATAGTCAGAGACGTTTTCCCAGGGCGGAAATGACTATTGGCAGTGACTAAATGGCAGTGGTAGTGGAGTCAGATACTTGAGACTTTTAATCGACTCTTGGATAGGCAGATGAAGGATAGTAAAATGTAGGGAATGCATGGTAGCTTGATCTTAGTCGGATAATAGGTCGGCACACCATCATGGGCCAAAGGGCCTGTCCTGTGCTGTACTGTTCTATGTTCACATTGCTTTGGGTCTGGATTCACATATAGGCCAGACCGGGTAAGGACAGCAGTTTCCTTCCCTGAAGGACATTAGTGAACCAGGTGAGTTTTTCCAACAATCAACAATGGATTCATGGTCATTATTAGACTCTTAATTCCAGACTTTTCTTGCATCCAAATTCCACCATTTGTCATGACAGGATTCGAACCCCAGGTCCCCAGAACATTGCCTGTGTCTCTGGATTAACAAAAGAGCGATAAACTGCAAGGCAGTCACCTCCCCGTCTCTTCTTATCACTGACTCCCTTCAGACCTGGAATGTTTTCCTCCCCCGTGCACATCCCCATAAAACACTCAATTTCTGACTCTAGCCTTTCGCTCATCTCCTCGGCCTTTTGCCCCATTTCAGCCATTTAGGCCCAATGTTCTGGAATCTCCTCTGAGTTTACAGCTCTTCTTCAAACCCACACCTTCAACCAAGGTTTGAACACCATTTTTGATATCTCCCTTGCCTGGATGTCTCAAAGTCTTCCTCACCCTTCTACTAATCATCTTAGGAGGTGTTTCTTTCTTTGAAGGTCCTATACCGCATACAAGCTTTTATTGGCAGCAACTTCAGTCATGAATCTATTTGACAGCATTAGGTTTCAGTCAAATATTTTCATTTCACATACTGTGAACTGTGCTTAAAGGTTTAAGCAAAATCGTTGCTATTGCAATCAACTGAAAGCCATTTAACAATCACTGGTCAAGGTTACAGGTTAGGACACTTCCTACTTAACTCCAATTTAATCCTATTCTCAGAGCAAAAGGCCTCCATCAGAATGAAGCTTAACAAAACAAAATTCCGTGTAGTCCTGAATTAAAGATCAGTAAACCAAGGATTTCCAAAATTTTCTGCCACTGGGTTCCGTTTAAAAGCTGGAAAATTACCATGATGCCACAGTGAAAATTGCAAATGCAGGGTGTGGTGAGATAACAAGAGAAGTGGGTGTGGAATAGAGAGGTTGTGAGGAGATTTCACTAATAATGAGAATGCAAAGTCTCCATTTATAACTGCAGCAATAGCCAGACTTCAAGGTCAAAAGTTTGAAAATAATATTAGGACTTGAAGTTATCGCACAGCTGCTGAGCAGTCAGCTCTCTACAGCAACCATTCCTATCTGAGACATACAACACCAAAATTCTGGCTTGTGAGGACCCTACTCCTGTAGCAAACACTCCATAGTCCATTCAGGAACAAAACCAAAGTTGCTGGAAAGGCCCAGCAGGCCTGGCAGCATCTGTGAAGGCAAAAACAGAGTTAATGTTTCGGGTCCGGTGACGTTTCCTCAGAACTTTTGTGCAACTCCTACAGAATTTCCTACAAGCTTCATGTTTAAATTGCAGAAATTGTTAGAAATTTGCTACACATTCCAAATTTCTCTTGATATCTTTTACATTTGTGTACTTATTTGTTATGTCTATAAAAAGGGGAGAATTCTCTATGGCGAGAAAACATCATCTGCATTTACCTCTTTAACGGAGTTGAAGACAGGCAAATTCAAGTGGCTTTTACCCCCTTTCCCAGGTGATACTCCTCCTACAAGGTTAGTGCCATATTCCAAAGCCTGTTGGCTATGGAAAGTTCCCTGGAATATACAATAAAGAGAAAAATACGAGATTAAATTAACATCCAAATATACTCAACAGTATTACACTTTAAGAAGTCCCATTTAGTCTCCTCTGATACTTTATCCAAATAAGTTTATTCAGCTGTGAGCCACAAGAGTGCCTGCATGTAATTGAGTGGGGAGCGATTTCACAGCCAGGCAAGATCCTGCTGATCAAATCATACAATTTTCAGTGAAGCACTGAGGGTGTAGAAATCTTCTCATTTTATATCCAATCCAAATGAAATAAATTATATTGCTCCAACTACTGCCTGAGCTCTTGGCAGCTAATTCAACAAAAACTAAAGGGACAAAAAATTGCTGCACAGTACCATATCGATGCCATCAACAGCAGAATTTGCCACCTCATGGATGGGCACATTCCCATTCTAATATGATCACCAGGCTTGAAATTCAACTCTAGTTGAACACAGGACAGCACATCATAGGAAGATAGTTTTGGTTGTTGGAGGTCAGTCATCTCAGCTCCAGGACATCTCTACAGGAGTTGCTCAGGGTAATGTCCTAGGCCCAACAGCTTCAGCGACTTCATCAATGACCTCCACTCCAGCTACTGCATCTTTGTGTACTCCCTGATTTTGCAGCTGGAGTGAAGTGGCAAGTCCAGGACAGGTTGTCGGTGATCATCACTCTGACGAACTTGATGCTCTTCACCCTCTAATCTTCAGTTCCGTTGATGTAGGTAGGGGCGTGTTCTCCTCCTTTCTTTATGAAGTCAGAGATCAGCTTTTTAGTTTTGCCAACGTTGAAAGAGAGGTTGTTTTCAATGCACCACATTACCAAGCTCTCTATCTCCCTTCGGTATTTTGACTCGTCGTTGTTAAGATATCCGTCCCACTATGGTGATGCCATCAGCGAACTTGTAGATGCGTTCATTCGAAATTTTGAATTACTCTTGGACTAAATGGCTAAGATTACAATGCAGTGGGTCTAAAACTACATGTAGCAGACCAGGTAGGGATGGTAAATTTCATTCCTTAAAAGAACATTAGCAAACCAGATGGAGTTTTACAATAATTGATGATGGTTGTCCTTGCTACTATTACTGAAGCTTGTTTTACATTCCAGCTTCATTGAGTGAACCTAAATTGTACATGCTACCACAATGGGATTTGAATCCATGATCTCAAAACATGAGCCTAGGCATCTAGATTGCTAATCCACTGACATTATCACTTGGCCATAATTCAAGGCAGTTCATCTCAAGTGGGACACTAATATGATCCAGTGATCCAACAATGTGATTGCACAAGGAACGGTACTGAGAACAGTTTAGAATATAGGGCTTAGGAGCAAGAGTAGGTCATACAGGCTTTCAAACCTGCTCTGCCATTCAATAAGATCATAGCTGGATCTAACTGATAAGGATGTTGCCAGGAATGGAGAATGTTAGCTAGGAAGACAGAGTGGATAGGCTGAGGTTATTTTCCTCTGAACACAGGGGGCTGAATGGAGGTGCTTTAATTGAGGTGGTTAAAATTTAACAGGAGCCTAAACAGAATGAACAGTTCCCTTTCCAGACGTAAATCAGGAGAAGGATTAGTGGTGAGCAGCAGAGGACGCAGCAGTCAGGAATTTACTATCTGACAGGGTGGAGGACCAGAAACCTGCAGTACATTTTTAAAAAATTCTTGGAGATGAACCTCAAGTGCATAATCCAAAGAGCTACTGACCAATAGCTGGAAAACTGAACTAGGCTGGACAGCTCTTTCTCAGCCAGTAAAAAAAACAATGGGCTGAGTGGCTTCTTGTGCATTAAAAATTTCAATTCTATAAATATGTCAGCCTTGGGTCAGTGGCAATGCTTTCAGAAGACAGTGCCTCATGTTAACTGAAAAGACTTGAATCAATAATTTCACTTGACAAATCAGTGCAGTATTGAGTTGTAGTTCAACAGCTAGGATTTATCCTTCACAAAACTATGACTGTTTCAAGTCTTTGTTATATAGGACATCGTCATGAATGTTGGACAATCAATACTTTGTTCACAAATCAAGCTTGGGACTAAACATAAAATAATTAAAGGACTACTAGTGCTGGAAATCAGAAACGAAAGCAGGAATTGCTGGAAAAATACTCAGCAGGTCTGGCAGCATCTGTGAAGAGAAAGCATAGTAGTTCTGAAGAAGGGTACCTGGACCCAACATGTTAACTCTGCTTTCTCTTCACAGCAGAGTTAACATAAGAACGTAAGAACTAGGAGCAGGAGTAGGCTGTCTGGCCCTTCGAGCCTGCTCCGCCATTCAATAAGATCATGGCTGATCCTTTTGTGGACTCAGATCCACTTACCCGCGTTCTCACCGTATCCCTTAATTCCTTTATTGTTCAAAAAAAATCTACTTTTTTTTTTAGAAAACGTTTACTGAAGAAGTGTCAACTACTTCACTGGGCAAGGAATTCCATAGATTAACAACCCTCTGGGTGAAGAAATTCCTTCTCAGTTCAGTCCTAAATCTGCTCCCTCTAATCTTGAGGCTTTGCCCTCTTGTCCTAGCTTCACCTGCCAGTGGAAACATCCTCTCTACTTCTATCTTATCTATTCCCTTCATAATTTTATACGTTTCCATAAGATCCCCCCTCAATCTTCTGAATTCCAATGAAAATAATCCCAATCGACTCAGTCTCTCCTCATAAGCCAACCCCCTCAACTCCGGAATCAACCTAGTGAACCTCCTTCGCACCCCCTCCAGTGCCAGTACATCCTTTCTCAACATGTTGGGTCCCGGTACCCTTCTTCAGAACTACTATGCTTTCTCTTCACAGATGCTGCCAGACCTGCTGAGTTTTTCCAGCAATTTCTGTTTTTGTTTCAAGCTTAGGACTGTTGTATCACACTGCTACTTCCACTGTCACTGCTGCAGATGCCCATGACTGAAATTGACATAAAATGGCCACCTGGGGCTTTTAGCAGACATAAGATGGCTGAAAAGGGATTGGCAGCTGCACATAGCACACTTTCACAGCCAGACTTTTGGTTTCCATACAGAGTCACCAGATAACAAAAGATCCAATGAGAATCATAATAGGGTCCCAGTGAGAAAAGACAGGGAAATTTAATCAAATTTCTACAGACAGGCAGCTCTTAGCGCATAATCCTTGAAAAATCTAAAGAGAAGATACCTGGACAATAACCACAGTCCCAAGTTTGTTGTTTAGTAAAATGTAGAAGGAAGAGTCTGATCCCACACTATTCTGAACTGTTTAAGTAATTGTAAATTAAAAATGCAACCTACAAACTAACTTAAAGGGATTTAGCTGAATTCCTTTGAGCAGTCAACCTTTGATTGTAAAGAGACACCCACTTCATTAGCAGGGAAGATAAGTGATAAATGGTGTAAACAGATAACTTCTAAGAGCGCACCAGAGACAGTTAGCATGATAGATATAAGGAGGTTGCGAAACATGGTCAGTGTGACTTCAAAAATTAAACAATTGCAACTTCACGGCTTAGCAAACAGCCTAAGTACAGATGTGAACAACTTCAGCAGATCCTTGCATCCAGAGATCAAGGGGAGAACGACAGAGACCCATTACAAGATATGGGTGAGGGTGAGGTCATGTCCTGTTCTGTTTTACATTGAGAATCCAAAAAGATTTCTTTTAATGACTTAGTAAAACTGTGAAAGCGATTGAATATCACGGTCATCAATGGAATTCAAATAGATACTGTCTTATTAAGTAAAAAGAAACAGTATGAAAAATATTTAAAATAGAGACAGTAAGGTTAATTCAAGAATCAAACCTCTTTTTAAAATCAACTTACAGAATGCAAATGGCGGAAGTGGTAAACTGAGGCTGCAAGACAGAGAAACAGTGCTTGTTTGATCTCTCTCTCAGAAAGAGAGAGAGTGTGAATGTGTTTTTGTGTGTGCGCGCGCATGTGCATGCGAGAGAGAGAAGCTGCCCCCCAACTTGTCAGCTTTGTCAAAGAATTATAACATTAGGTGACTATGTAACTTTTTTTGGCAGAAGAAGTTAGCACCCTTTTGTAATAAGATTACTAGGACATGTAAATTGTCTAACAGAATTTGAAGAAGTCCTTAGTGATAAGCAAGTGTCCAGTTTATTGGCAATTAATGTGATGAAGATGGCAAATGCCCAGAAGGAGTATAACTGTCAGTATTGGAACATGATTGAATGAGATGCACTGCAAGATCCCAAAGACAGGTGACAGAGGTGTCTGGTAAACATGACCTATGGCTGTCCACGGAGATGTCCATCATTGATCATGAGTTTACAGGATTGGATGTGCAGATTAGGGGGATGTAGCTAACAATGATTTCAATGTTGCATGTAATTATTATAACACAATGTATAAAAATTATATGGGGGTAGCAGAGTGTCCAGTGGAAACAGTTAAAAATTGCTAGACACAGAACTTAAGACTTTTCTTTGAAATCACTCAATGACAATTATCGACGCAAATTCCTATATTTGCCAATATAACTATCATCATTCAGATGAGTTGTTAATCTGAAAGCAATCCGACCTTTTGGGGGGGGGGGCATAAAGTGTCACATGGTACTAGTTGCTGTACAGTATGGGAGTTCTCTGCAGGGTCTAAGCAATAGACTAAGCACAAAGCAACTAAGCAATAGATCGCTTAATTTTAATGATTTTCTGATGAAGGGCCTAGGCCCGAAACGTCAGCCTTTCTGCTCCTATGATGCTGTTTGGCCTGCTGTTTCATCCAGCTCTGCACCTTGTTGGCTCGGATTCTTCAGCATCTGCAGTTCCTACTATCTCCTACTTTCCTGGTGTCCTCATTAACATTCATCCTTTTCTAAACATCAACGAAACAAGTCATGGCCACACTGTAGTTTGTGGGAGCCATCTGTGCCCCATCTTTCCTACATTATAACTGTGGCTATTTTTGAGTTCTAAATTGCTTTGGAATATTCTGAAGTCATGAAAGGCACTACATAAATGCAAGTCCTCCTTTTTGAGTGAAAAACTGACTACTTCAAATGGTGGCAAAGTGCTTTGGGAAACCTGAAGGCAGGGAAGATGACATCAATAAGTTAACACAGAGTGGAGCTGGAGGAACACAGCAGGCCAGGCAGCATCAGAGGAGCAGGAAAGCTGATGCTTCGGGTCGGGACCCAAGGGTTAGGGTTAGGGTTACGGTCCTGACCCGAAACGTCAGTTTTCCTGCTCCTCTGATGCTGCCTGCTGTGTTCCTCCAGCATCGGCAGTTCTTACTATCTCCGACATCAGTAAGTTCTTTCATTTACATGAAGTTTTCCAAATTCAAGTTAGACTTTATACCAAAGGATTGAATTGCACTGTGTCAGAAGCAGCTCTCCATTGTCAAAACACCAACACTCAAGACCGATGGTCCAAAAGATGCCAACTTGCACCACAAGTGTCAAAAATAAAGATGAGAAATAAATGCTGGAAGGTTAAACATTAATGTTAGACAGATGGAATGCAAACAAGACGCACCTGCTTCCCAGTAAAACCCTGGCAAATGACCTTTGTTGTTTTGTCTATGTAGAGGTTTTGCCTTGAGCCGGTGTAGCAGCGTCTCACTCCACTCTGCTTCGCTGCAACTAATAAAAGGCCAATGTTAGCAACACAAGTCCACTATTGTACTGAGCTATAACATGCTGTACTGACTCAAGGAGGTCCATTAGCAAAGGGCTAATTCACGCATGAACAATTATGTACAAGACTTTGCCTCGCACAGTGGTGATACTTTGGTGTCGAACTAGATTAAAAAGCCAGGGCAATTATGGAAAATAATTTTAGGAAATTCCTCTCAGATTTTGGGAGTTCTCATCTCCACCAAGATCACCATCAGGAGATCAAAATCAGTCCAATCCATAAGAACACAAGAATTAGGAGCAGTGGACCATATGGCCCATCGAATGGCTGGGCAGGATTGAGGAGATCACAGCTGATCCAATTGTGTCCTTAGCTTTATGGAAATATACTTTCCCTGTACTCTCGCTATTTCCTCCTTGAATGCCTCCCACCCAGAGCCGGACTTTGTTGTCTTCCATCACCCTCAACTCCCCTGTTGATCAAATCGCTCTAACTCAACCTTGGATATATTCAAGGCCAGTCTCTCCTGCTCTCTGGGGTAGAGAATTCCTGGGATTAATGACCCTCAGAAAGACCAATTCTCATTTCTGCCAAACCTGCCCAAACTTTCCACATAAAATAATAAAGCAGTAATAGTAACAGATTTTAACTACCCAAACATTAACTGTGACGGAGGGAAACAAAATTCTTAAACTGCATCCAGGAAAATACCTTTTTAAGCTTGTATGTAGATGTATAAACCCCAACAAGGGAAGGGCAGTTCTGGATCTAATATTGGGAAATGAGCTCAGTCTGGTATAAGGCAGATCAGCAGGGAAGCATTTTGGAGGTGTGACCACAACTCAGTTCTATCTAAGATATTTATGGAAAAAGATAAGGATGGGCCAGGAATTAAAGTTCTAAACTGTGGAACAGTTAAATTTATTAAGATAAGATTTGGCCCAAGTGGACAGACAGCAGCTACTTGCAGATAAAACTCGGTCAGGGCAGCAGAACATATTCAAAGAGGAAATAGCGAGTGAACAGGGAAATATGTTTTCGTAAAGACGAAAGGGTGAGACCAAGAACGTAGAACCCTGAATGTCAAGTGACATAAATATTAGGATTAAGAAAAAAATAGAAACTTATGGCAGATTCCAAGTGGTCAATACAACAGAATTCCCAGAGGGTTTAAAAAACATACAGGAACTTAAAAAAGGAAATTAGGAAAGCTGAGAGAGTACATTAAAAGTTTCAGCAGGTAGAATACAAGTGTAAGAGTAAGAAAACTAGGGAACGAGTAGGACCCATAGGAGGTAAGGAAGATAAAACAATAAACCAAACCATCTACTTGTAACAGAAATTCAAAGATTTTTAAGCACACAGTTAAAGTATAAATTACACTCACCTAAAAACACTTTCATGAGCAGAAAAGATGTATTTTTAAAAAGTGCACAAAACACACCCCAAGTACAGCATGCAAAAATGTGATTTGTACAGTATTCATACTACAGTCCCTGCATCTGGCAAGCCATCAGGTTTAAGTCACTTATGACTTCAACTTTTAGAGTGCGACTTCTTCCTGGAGCTTTTATGAACCTGATTTTATATGAACTCAACTGTAAGTAACTTCTTCAGGATTTTATCCCAACCCTTCTGGTCTAAAACTAACATGAACTCTTCATTCCAAGGTAACCTAGTTCACTATTTTATCCTTCTCTTCACAGGCGCACTGGTCTACACTGCCAACCTCCTCCAAGGATTTCACAGGACTGCTCCAAACTCAAAGTAAAACAAAAAAGTAAACATATTCCTCTCCAAGCTATGGGTATTTTCCTTAAGCTTAAAAAAACAAGTTCTGTCTTAAGACTTTATTATTTCTGATGCTGGGTCACAAAACAATCTATGATAAATTCATCCATGGTGCACAAAACCCCAAACATCCGAAAGATAGACCTCAAAAGCTATTTTGAAAGAAATCCCCGTGGCTACAGAAATATTTAACTTCAGCAACACAGAAAACCCATAAGTTACTGAACTAATAATGAAAACGCAGACTTACAATAAATGATATAATATAAACAATACAGTTAGCGTCACAATAGTCAGCATGGATTTGTAAGGAAAGATCATATTTAACACATTTAATCAAATTTTTTGAGGAGGTAACCAGGACTGTTGATGAGGACAATGCATTTTATTAGTCTGGATAGTTTTTAGCAAAGTTTGAAGAGGAGGCGAAGGCCTAGTGGTATTATCGCTGGACTGTTCATCCACACACCCAGATAATGTTCCGGGGAACTGGGTTTGAATCCCCCCATGGCAGATGGTGGAATTTGACTTCAATAAATATCTGTAGTTAAGAGTCTAATGATGACGGTGAATCCATTGTCAATTGTCAGAAAACCCCATCTGGTTCACTATTGTCCTTTAGAGAAGGAAACTGCCATCGTTCCCTGGTCTGGCCTACATGCGACTCCAGACCCACAGCAATGTGGTTGACTCTGAACTGCCCTCTACGCAATTAGGGACGGGCAATAAATGCTGCCCTAGCTCGCAATGCCCTCATCCCATGAATGAATAAAGAAAACAAAAAGTTTGGACTTAAATGTAGGAGATATGATCAAGACGTTTTCAGATGACATGAAAATTAGTGAGGAAGATAACCATAACTGTAGGAGGATATCAACAGACTGGTTGGATGGGCACAGCAGTAGCAAATGGGATTTAACCTAGAAAGTCTAAAAAAAATGAAACTGGATGAACGGCCTAACTTCAAGCTAAGCACCTGAAACAATGGCACAAACATCCCGTCAATCCTGCAAAGTCCTCCTGACTAACATCTGACAGCTACTGCCAAAATTGGGACAGACGTAGCACATACCATTCAAACAATAGCAGTCACATGGGAGTCGCCCTGGGAGTCCTCAACATTGACTCTGGACACCATGAGGTCACACAGTATCAAGTCAAATACGGGAAAAGAAACCGCTTGCTGATTACTATGTACCATCCTCCCTGGGCTGAGGATTTTGAACACTTGATGGAACCACTAAGGGTGGCAGGTTCACAGAATGCACCCTGGGTGGAAGAGTTTCAACGTCCAATACTAAGAGTGGCTCGGCAAAAGCACGACTGCTAATTGAGCCGGTCAGTTCCTAAAGGACATTGCTGCTAGGCTGGCAGCTAGTGAGGGAACCAATAAGAGGGAATATTATACTTGATCTCATTCTTATCAATCTGCCTGCAGCAGATGCATCCGTCCTTGACAGCATCACAAAGATCATGAGATCATAAGATAAAGGAGCAGAATTGGGCCATTTGGCCCATCAAGTCTGCTCTGCAGATGAAGAAGAGTGACCACCGCACAGTCCTCGTGGAGACAAAGTCCTGCTTTTGCACTGATACCATCTTCCATTAAGTTGTGTGGCACCATCACCACGCCAAAAGTGACAGACTTCAAATCGATCCAGCAATCAGAGGAGGAATCCGGGAGGTGCCATGGGCCATTAGCAGCAGCAGAATCATACTCTAACACAATGTGCAACGTCATTACTTGGTATCTATCATCATCATGTCAGGGGATCACCCCTGGTTCAAAGAAGAGTGCAGGAGGGCATGAAAGGGGCAGTAATAGGCATAATTAAACGGGATGTGTCACACTACCAAACAAGACTACCTGTGTGACAAACAGCACAAGCAGAAAGTGACAGACAGAGCTAAGCAATCCCACAACCAATGGATCAGATCAGTTGTGAATGACGATGGACATTAAACAACTCACTGGACAAGGAGGCTCCACAAGTACTCCCATCCTCAATGATGGGGAAGCTCTGCACATCAGTGTAAAAGGTAAGACTTAAGCATTTGCTGCAATCGTCAGCCATGAGTGCCAAATGGATGATCCATCTCAACGTCGTCCAGAGGTCCCCAGTATCACAGATGCCAGTATCGAGACTATTCAATTCACTCCACATGATATCAAGGAACAGTTTCAGGCACAAGGACAAATCCAACCAAGCCACTTCTCAACCCATCAGTCTACTTTCGATCATCAGTAAAATGATGAAAGGTGTCATCAACAGTGCTACCAAACAACACCAGGTCAGCAACAATCTGCTCACTGATGCCCAGTTTGAGGGCCATTCACCTCCTGACCTCATGACAGCCTTGGCTCAAATATGGACAAAAGAGCTGAATTCCAGAAGTTAGGCAAGAGTGACAGCTCTAGACACCAAGGCCACATTTGACTGATGCATCAAGTAACTCTAGCAAAACTGGAGTCAGGGGCAAGTTTCTCCGCTAGTTGGAGTCATACGTGGCACAAACGAAGATGGTCATGGTTGTTGGACGTCAGTCATCTCAGCTCCAGGACATCTCTGCAAGAGTTCCTCAAGGGAGTGTCCTCAGTCTAATTATCTTTAGCTGCACCAATGACGATCATGTGATCAGAAGTGGGGGCGTTCACTGACGATTGCACCATTCATGACTCCTCGGACATTGAAGCAGTCTATGTCCAAAGGCAATAAGACCTGAATAATATCCGAGCTTGGGTTGAAAAGTGGCAAGTGATATTTGCATCACACAAATGCCTGCCAATGACCATCTCCAATAAGAGACAACCTAACCAACACAAGTAACTCACCTCCCCAAAGCCTGTTCACCAGTGTACAAGACACACATCAACAGTGTGATGGAATAGTCCCCACTTGCCTGGATGGGTGCAATTCCAACAAAACTCAATAAGCTTGACACCATGTCTTAGGATCTTTGAATTTCTACATGCATCTTAAAGATTATATACACAAAGCTGCTAGTGAGCAAGGATTGGCATCATGACCACAAAATTCAATCAAGTGGGCTGCTTCAAGCTGGGATGGTATTCCATCATCTATGATTCGATGAATGAATACCATTCCAGGTTAAAGCAGCCCACTTGATTGAATTTTGTGGTCATGATGCCAATCCTTGCTCAGTGGCAGCATTGTGCGTAATCTATAAGATGCAAGCAGAAATTCAAAGGCCCTAAGACACCCACCTTCCAAACCCACAAGTGCTTCCACCTAGAAGGACAAGGGCAGCAGATACATGGGAATATCTCCAGCTGCAAGTTCCTCTCCAAGTCACCCTCCATCCTAACCTGAAAATATTTCTCCATTCCTTCATTGTTATTGGGTCAACATCCTGGAATACCCTTCCTAACAGCTGCTCCTATGAACCTGCTTGGCCTGCTGTGTTCATCCAGCTCTACACCTTGTTATCTCAGTACGAACTGCAGATGCTGGAGAATCTATCTCTCTCAAACAGACTACAGTGGTTCAACGCGGTGGCTCATCACCTTCTCAAGGGCAACTAGGAGCTAGCAATAAAATCTTCCCCATCCACAAGAAATAGGACCAGGATTAGACCGTTTTACCCCTCAAAGCTGCTTCACCACTCAACAGGGTCATGGCAGACCTGACACTTCTCACATCCACTTTCCTGCCCTTTTTCCGTAACCCTTGATTCCCCTACTGATCAGCTCTCAATCCTCAGAGAAGAAATTCCCCCCATCTCAGTCTTAAATTGGCACCCCTTTATTCTGAAACCATGTTTTCTCTTTTAGACTCCCCCATGTGTTGAAACATCCTCTCAGCATTTACCTGTCAAACCCCTTAAGAATCCTGTGTTTCATTGAGATGACCTTACCTTCGTTTAAACTTCAGTGAGTAGAGTACCAACCTGTTTAACCACTGTTCATTAGACAATCCCACCACACTAGGGATCATCCTAGTGAACCTTCTCTGAACCACCTCCAAGGAAACATCATCTTTCCTTAAATAACGGGCCAAAACTGCCCACAGTACTCCAGATGTGGTCTCATCAGCACCTTGTACAGTTGCAGTAAGACTTCCCTACTCTTATATTCCAGCCCCCTTGAAATAAGGGTCAACATTCCATTAGCCTTCCTGATTACCTGCTGCCTCTGTGTTAGCTTTCTGTGTTACATACACAAGTGCCCTCAAGTCCCTTTGAGTTGCAGCTTTCTGTAATTTTTTTCCATTTAAATAATACTGTTCTTTTGTTCCTCCTACCAAAATGATCAACTTCAATTTTTCGCACATTATACCAATAGATAGGCATATGGATGATGGTATAAGGTAGGGATGGAGGTTAGATAGACCTTAGGATTACGGTAAAAGTTCAGCACAACATTGTGGGCTGAAGAGCCTGTACTGTGCTGTACTGTTCTATGTTCTATACTCCATTTTCCAACCTTTTGCCCACTTACTTAACCCATCAATATCTCTTCGTGAACTGTTTGTATTTCTTTCTGGGGACACCCACATCCCACGAGTGAATAAGAAAAAACCTGGGAGAAGTGTGAGGCAATGTACTTGTGGAGAACCTACAGAACAAATTATTATAAAGTGAATGATAAGATCCTGGAAGACAGGATAGATCAGAAGGTCACTGGTGTGCATATCCACAGATCACTGAAGGTAGCAAGGCAAGTAATTCAGCAGGAAAAGAGGGAAACTTTTTTTTTGTTAGCTGAGGCGTAGAATACAAGAGAAAGGAGGTTGTGCTGGAATTGCATAAAACACTGGTGAGGCCACAATTGGAGCACTGTTTGCAGTTCTGGTCACTACATTACAGGAATGATGCGAGTGCATAAGAGTGCAGAAGAGATTTACAAGGATGCTGCCTGGGCTGGAAGGTTTGAGCTACGAGAACACATTCAGCAGGGTCAGATTGCTTTTCTTGGAGCAGCAAAGGGTTGAGAGGGGACTTACTAAGATTATGAGGCCAAAGATATGGTGGAAACATTTTCCATCTTTAGAGGTGCCAATAATCAGAGGTCACAGATTTATGGTAATAGACAAAAGGCTAAGAGGGGTGGTGGAAGTCTGAAATTCATTGACTGAAAGAATGGTCTAGTCAGAAACTCTTATAACACTTCATAGTATTTAGACATTCACTTGTATTACCATCGCCTCCAGAGCTATGGCCAATAGTTGGAAAACGAGATTCATGTAGTCAGATCTATGTTGGTTGATGCAGACTGCACTGAACATCTATGAATTTATTAATCAAAAGTCCTTCATTCCAGGCATGACTTGAGCTCTGATAATTCAATGCATGAGTTGCTGTTCCCTCCTTTATCCAAATTTCTTTCTTCCTGGGAGGTCTTCATAAACTTGCCCATTTTGACAAGATATAACAATGAAAGAAACTTAATAATTAACACACCATTAAAATTAGCTGTGAAATTTTATTTCACAATGTAGATGTTAACTTTTTAAAAAAAATTCCGATGGGGAAACATACACACTTCCTCTACTACCACAAGAGGAACAACTTACCCAAAGTAAAATGCAGGATGCAAAGAGTGCAGAATTGCTTTAGGTCTCCCAAACTGGCTATGCTTCAGTACTTTTATCTTCACAAACTGTGCATGAGAAATGCTGACAGCATACAAATGTTTCAAACAAAAACTTAGGGACAGAAAGCACTGGCTAGCTTTTAAACAAACAACTTGCATTTATATAGCACCCTTAACATGTCAAGACACTTCACAGGAATGTCAAACAAAATGTGACAAAGTAGATGCTCATTGGCAGTTGCCCTTGGCTGGAGAATTTAAAATTCGGAGCTAAGTCTCAGAGATAAGAAGTAGGCCATTTAGATTGAGGGGAGAAATGTTTTTCACTGGGGACCAGTGCAAAGCTTAACTGTAGAGAGCAGAGGATGATTATTTATTTATTATATACAAGACAGAGATTAGCAGACTTTGGAGCACTGTGGCAATCAGGCAAGAAAGTAAAGTTCATTTTGGAGTTCAGACATTATCTTATTGTGTGTGTATTAGTAGACTGGAGGAGTCATAGAACCTGATCCTGCTCCTAGTTCTTATGTTTTTATGATGCACACTGATAAGGAGATATTAGGAAAGCTTGCTAAAAGATTGGTCAAAGTGTTTTATGGAGTGCTTTAAAAAGAGAGGCAGAGGGATTCAGGGCGTGATGGCTGACGGCGTACTGCCAACACCGGAGTATTACCAAGCAGCCAGAATTAGAGCAGAGCAGCGATCACTGAGGGTTGTAAAAGAAAGAGACAGCAGAAATAGGCAGAGGCAAAGCAATGAAGGATTGTAAATAATGACGAGAAGTTTCAAATCAAGGCTATTTTTCACACTTCTTTCCAAACCCTGAGAAGAATTAGTCATTTACAATGTGGTGATTTTAAATCGGTGATACTAATGTTTTGTTAAGCCACAAATCGAAAAGCAGTCAGGGTCAAAAAACATCACTTTGAAATCTACTGATAATCTTTGATAATTAACTCTCTGTTTACTGGGTGATCATTAACGTCCTTCAGTCCATCCATGATGAATTACTTTAAACATGTATTACTTTTTGAGTAAAGGAAATGTTTCTAATATTAGTCTTAAAGGTACCATTGTTTAAATGTTAAGATTCTGGTCCTACTGCCTTAATATGATACAGTAGTGATAATTTGTGCAGCAAAAGTGAACTTAAGTGCTCTTTCCACCACCACTCCTCCTAAACC